GAGGAAAAAAATTATTTCATCGTATATGTGTATACATATACATATATTGAAGCACATTCTGCATAACATCCTGCAAACGGCTCTTACTACCCGATATTTCATTTATTAGTTTAAAAGACTTCAGAGCCCGAAGAAATCTTCTTCTTGTTCTTTATTAACTTAAAAATAAAATTTCACCTGTTATTTTATTTTTAAAGATGACAAAATGTGTTACAGTGGAATGTAATAAATGTCAATGAGCAACATGCTAAAACAATAGGATTAATCTAACTCTAATAGTTATAATATTTATTTATAATATTTATAATATTTTTTATTTTGACAATATTTATAATATTTATAATTTCAATTACATTAACATTATTATAAACAATCCTTTTAAGATTTTGTGCATGAAATCTTAATATAAAATGATCAGTCAGTTTATTCTATTTTATTTAATTATTCTAGCACAATGTAGCTTGTCTCTGTGGCTAATCATGAAACAAATCCAAATAAAGTCAACCATTTAATAATATTTTGATAGAATAATATTTTAATAATATTTTGATACTGTACCATTAAAGTGTCTGCACCTTCTTCTGACATTAATGCTTCTTTACGCAAATGCGTTACCAATTCCTCTAAAGTAGTAATGCGTTTACACAGTGCTCAATTTGTTTTCTGCAGATTATGGATCAAATTACATTTCTCTTTATAGGTTTTGTTCACCATATTAATAACTCTTCGGGCTCTCTTAGGTGATGAAAAATCGGAAGTTGTAATTTCGGATACGTACCGAGGCTCTGCAAATCTCCGTTTCTTTGGAGTAGCATACAGCTTTTGCTGTTCATTGTCATGACCTGTTATTAATAAAGCAACATGGATAACGTACAAACAAAAACAACTAAGGACGAAACAACTAAAAACGAATTAAGATATTGAGGTTCATGCAGTTAAAACTAATAATAAATTTCAAAAGAGATAAGAGCCGTTTGCTAGATGTTTTGCAGATAAATATATTTGTAAATATATTTATATTTTTAAGAGTGTAAATTCTTACACATTGTTTTTGAATTGAAATTTTCAATTCTTAAAACCATGTAAGATGCTTGATTTGCATCACATATATGAGAGAATACCCATTTTCCCTTCCCAATTAATTTTTTTCGCAATATAAGTTCTAAATTAATTGGGAAGGGAAAATGGGTATTCTCATATACGTGATGCAAATCAAGTATCCTACATAGTTTTAAGAATTGAAAATTTCACTTCAAAAACAATGTGTAAGAATTTACACTCTTAAAAATATAAATATATTTAAAAACAACTAACTTTAATATTTAGTATCCTCAATAAAACTAGTTAAAAGTTAAAAACTTACGTTTCTCTTGAATAACATCCTTGAATGTTGACTGGAACTGCAGTTTGGTAGCTGGAGGATTTAGAACACCAATGGAAGGCACTGCTTCTGGTTTCAATAACCATTTCTTTTGGACCAGCAGTTCCGTACTATGTCTATAGTCACTCTGTATAAAATGATCAGAGCATATGTATACATGCGTCACATTGTCCTTATCAGATAATTTGCAGGCATGCAACCATTGTGCTCGAATGCTCACTTCTTTTGGAAATCTGCAAATAATTATTTATCTCATCATGCTGTTAAATGTGTTATAAAATTTGCTTGATAATTTAACCTAACCATGTGTTGCAGCAAATGTAATAATATATGCAATTAAGTTAAATTAGAGAAAATAATAGCATTTTATAAATACACATTTTATGTCTAAGATATTTACTCGTGTATTGTAAAATTTGCATTTTTCGTTGCTTTCTTCTTGCACAAAAAACAAATTCGCACCATCGCGAACCATGTAGATTAATGAAATTATCGCCTGAAATTTGAAAAATCGCAATTTAGTTTTAGCTGCCGAATTTGCTATTATAGTACAAAATTGTGTTATAAGTACAAAATTATATTCGCACATCTTATTATATACTTTACTTTATTCTTCTTTAATTTTCTTGAAGTTTCTTTAATTCTTCGCAATTTTCACGTAACTGTTTCATACGATCACTAATATCACGTAGGTGCGTGATACATATCACGTTGCATGTGATACGCATATCAACGCATGTTTTAAAAAATGTAAGCGCATGCGCACAAAGCAGCTGGACCTTGCGCAAGAGAGAGGCTACTACAGTGGAATCTCGGAATAGCCATATATGTAATACTTCTATATCGCTACTACGGTGCCGACCTGAAGCCCAAACGTTACGGTGCAGACAATATAGTAGCCTCTCTCTCGCGCAAGGTCCAGCTGCTTTGTGCGCATGCGGTGAACATTCAAGCACGCTTGGGTATTTCTCTTTTTTGCGTTCTTTTTTTGCGTTCTCTTACTTTCCAATGCTTTGTCTCGCTCGCACTCGCTTAGTAACCGCGCCTGCGCATAATGACGCACGACTATCTATGCCCATATTTGGACTTCATGCGTCTTTCTTTCTCGGGTCTCGTGCTTCTCATTGCGAAAATACGCGACTAGCAATATAGAAGTATTACATATATGGGAATAGCGGATCGCGAAATAGCGGACTCATCCCTTCCATGCGCATAAAGTTCCGCCTTTGGAACATAAGAGAGGGCTTACCGCTCAGTGCTGTGTGCCTATCAAAGCGGGCGCAGCGCGCAGCATTGCTTAGGTCATGTTACGCAGTAACAAGTAATCTCTCATGGATCGTGTGTGTGCAGATCGTGTGTATACAATTGGGTCCTGTTGTGTTCCATCATATGTATTGTTAACAAATATATATCAACATACTTTTTTGTGTATCATGGCAAACTCAATTAATGTAAAGAGAAAACGTATAACGTACATAAACAAGATTACGATTTTGAAAGAAGTCGAAGAAGAAAAAACAAAAGATGATATTTTAAAAACATGGAATTTCTAAAACATGTTTTTTTGACATCATAAAAAACAAAGAGAACATTAACAAAATAGTATTAAATAAAAAAAACTTCCAGAATAAAAAAAGTAAACAAGTAATCAAAAACAAAACATTAGAAGAATGTTTATTTACATGGTTTCTGTAAGTAAGAGCGGTAGGACAACCAATTTCAAGACCAATTTTACAGGCAAAAGCATTGCAATTAAATAATTTACTCAAAGGTCCTTCCAATTTTAAAGTAACGAATTTCTACATATTAAATTAAATGTGTATTCTAATCATATAAAATTTGTTGTATAACTTATTATACTTTATTATACTGCATTAACTGATAATATGTAATAATTTTTTATATTATTTGAATTTAATTGTCTTAATTTTTATTTTTATATGTAGGCAAGTAACGGTTGGTTGACCAATTTCAAAAACAGATACAATATTCGACAATTAAGGATATCAGGAGAAATTCTATCCAACAATGCCGAAGCTGCAAAAATATTTCACGATGAAATTATAGAAAAAATTAAAACAGAAAATCTTCTTTTAGAAAATGTAATGCTGACGAAATTGGCATTTATTGGAAATCATTTCCAAACGTAACTTTAGCATCTCAAGAGGAAAAAACAGCTCCCGGAAGAAAAAATTACAAAGATCATGTAACAGCTTTATTTTGCTCCAATGCTAACCGGATTTTGCTCCTAACCGGAACTAACAAAATAAAGTTGTGCATAATTGGAAAATTTGCTAAACCAAGATCAATAAAAAATATTAAAAATTTACCGGTTGTATATAAATCGCAAAAAAGTGGTTGGATGAGTCAAAATCTGTTTAAAGAATGGTTAGTTTTTTATATAGCTGTATAATTTATTATATATTATATTTAATGTATTTATATTTTTTAATGTATTTTATTTAAAATTAATCAAAAATATACACGTTGTATTTAGGTATCAAGACAACTTTATTCCAGAAATATTAGAGCACCAAAGAAAAAATTATATCAGCGGTAAAGTATTATTGCTGTTGGATAATGACCCGTCCCATCCGCCTGTTGATATGCTAAACAACATAAATAAAAATTTTGAGGTAAAATATTTATCACCAAATGTAACAGCAATTATACAACCTCTGGACCAGGGTGTTATTTCGATTACCAAAAAGTTGTACAAAAAACAATTTTTATTGAAATTGGTATTAGAAGAAAAGCAACTCAACATACAGATTTTTTGAAAACTTTTACTCTTAGAGATTGCATCACTCTAATTAGTACTGCTTGGAACAGTATTCGGTCATCAACTTTAAATAAAGTATGGAAACCCATGTTGGGAGATTTACTTTCAGTTCACACATACAATGATTCTACAAGTGAAAAAAATAATGAATCTGTTGAAGAATTTATTGAAGAATGTGCTAAACTTTATAACTGTACTTCTCAATTAATACAAAATATTATTGAAGTTTCTGAAATAAAAAAATGGATTGCTACAGAAGAAGGCGATGAAGGTTGGACATGTTTAACAGATATAGAAATAATTGAAAATATTGTAAATCGCAATGAAGAATTTGCCAAAACTGAAAACATTAAAGATAATTTTCCCGGAGAAAGTAATAATCAACCATTGACAAAAATATCTCATATACAAGCTTATCAATATTTTCAAGTTATTAAGAATTGGTGTGAGCAACAAAATGAGTGCGAAATTACTGATATTCTCTTGATAAACAAATTATTAGAAATTGCAGCAATAAAGGCTATGCACGAAAAACTTTATGAACAAGTATAATATAATATATTAGAAAAATATATGTTAAGATGAATGTTATTTTGTTTTATATAAAGTTTATAAGCATACGCATATATTATATTATAATTCTATTTTATATTATATTATAATTCTATATTTATAAATATATTTATTATATATGAATGTGTGCAGAATTACAGAGAATTACAATATATTTGATTTAATAAAAACTATCGCTGTATTACGTTCATTACGTTTGTCTTATTGTTTATGCAATGTACGTTTATTTTATTACGTATGCATTAATAAGATTTTAAAACTTTCTTACACTATTAATTTCATTAAAATTTGAAATAAAAGTATTCTTTAAAAAGTATTTTAATAAGCTAAACTGTAATAAGCACATTAGAAAGTTTCTATTTTTTTCAAATAAAATAACTATATGTTAACTAAAAATCTATATGTTAACACTTTCTATGTGTATGTTTATTACTAAAATAAATTTTGTCATAAGTAATTGTTTTGTAGTTTATAACTACTTTGTGATTTAAAAAATTTACATATTGTAACCGTAATATTTTTAACAAAACAACAATACTTTACACAAAAAAACCGTAAGTAAGTGTAAGAAAGTAAAATATTCTTATATCACGTAATAATTAAATAACTAAATATTTGATATAAATTATTGAAGTCACTTTTAATGCAGAGTTACTTTTTTCAATGTTCACGATAATTTTATGATAACATATGCCTGTCGGTATTAGTGGTAACCGTGTCGGTATGTATCATCGGTAACCGTGCCGATATATGGATTAAATCTCGGGCCGCTGGCACGTGATAGTAGGAGGCGGCCGGAGGAGAACTACTTCTCCTCACGGCGCACGATATGGTGCTCCGCACTGTACGTGTGCGCTCGACGCTTCGGCCGTCTTCGGGCGGTAGAAGAGAACAGAGATATGTTTACTGTCCCTTTCTTTCGAAATAGCTATAGCGTACGCGGCTAGCGCGAGCGGCTAAGGCCGAAACACAGACTTTTGCATAACGCATAACGCATAAGACATAAGAGAATCAACCAATCAAAGCTTTCTGGAACAAGAAGTAGAAATGAAAACGAAAAGCTGGATTGGTTGATTTTCTTATGTTTTATGCGTTATTCGTTATGCAAAAGTCTGTGCTTCGGCCTTAAGCCTCGTGCTAGCAGCTGTTTATCATTTTTCGCCGTTTGTCCTCGTTCTTGCACTTATTTACTTATAGAAACATTTAGATTAAATAAAAAAATATAATATTAACACCATAAAAGAATAATTAGAAAAATAAAACATATGAGGAGCACAAATGAAAAGTGAAGAATATAAATCCAATATGGACCTAATCTTGGCCAATATGTACGTTTTTTTGTTTTAAACAAAAAAAAGAAAAGTATAGTTAATTATATATTTAGCAAAATATTGTTAATATAAAATACATAGAGATAAAAATATATTTTAATGTTGTTCGTTACGTAAAAAATATTCTGTTAATATACTTTTTACTTTGCACTCGCATTTACATATAATATACATTAAAAGAAAAAAAGTATTCTTGCAATAAGAATTTTATTAAGTATTATTAAACTGAGAATTATCTCGGGCTCTTTTGAGTTTATTAAACTTAGTTGATGAATATATGTGAATACGGTCAATAAGAGCCATTCGCTGGATGTTTTTGCGGAAATATTTGTGTATATACATGTACGTAAAATATATATACGTGTTCACATGTAAATCTTACACGTGAGTTTTTGGATTGACATTTCAATCCTAAAAATCATATAGGATGCTAATTTTGCATCTCATATATGAGAGACCCCATATACCCCCCTAATTAATTTTAAAATATTGCGAAAAAAACTCCTCAGCCAGGAGTCGAACCTGGAATCTCCGGCTTTCCGGGCCGTCGCCTTCCCTGTTAGGCTACCGAGGCACTTGGAGTTTGTCTCGCAATATTCCATACATCTATTAAAGATGTTTTTTAATACTGTAATATCGCCCTTTTCGACAGCGTTAATTTAACAATTATTATTAAACTGAGAATCATCTCAGGCTCTTTTGAGTCTATTAAACTTAGTTGATGAATATATGTGAATACGGTCAATAAGAGCCATTAGGTGGGTATACGGAGTCTCTCATATATGAGATCCAAAATTAGCATCTTATATGATTTTTAGGATTGAAATTTCAATCCAAAAACTCACGTGTAAGATGTACATGTAAACACGTATATATATTTGTACATATATATACACAAATATTTCCGCAAAAACATTCAGCGAATGGCTCTTATTGACCGTATTCACATATATTTATCAACTAAGTTTAACAGAATTTTATTGTATTTAAGTTTTAGAAATGAACTACGTACACATTGTTGCTCAACGGAAACCGCGAGAAGGTGGTGATTTCTTTCATCAAAAACAATGTAAAACATTTGTTTTGTTCAATATTGTAATAAATGTTTATATATACGTTTTTTAGCATAAAAAATAATAATAATTAAAATAATTAAAATAATTCTACATGTTATAGTATAAAAGAATGTTTCAATAAAAATATAAATAAATACAAATATATAAAAATTAATACACTATTTACAAAACCATTGTTGTGTATTTCCAAAAAAAATATAGATAGAACAGAACAGGTAAAAGTTTAGATAGAAAGGATAGAAGTAGAAAAAATAGGAGTAAGAAAATAGAAGAAAGAAGGAGAAATAGATAAGGAAAGAACAAATACAATATTAGGAATTGGAATTAATTCGTAGCGTTTTTTTAATGAAGAAAAATTATTTATTTTAAATAAAAATAAAAAAATACATTAATTTAAGTATTGCCCATCGCTTTCTACTACTTTTGATCATCTTTCGGGCAGGGAACGAATACCGTGTCGGAAGAACGCTTCGTCTTTAGATGCAATCCACAAATCGACCCATTTTTGACAATCTTCGTAAGAAGTGAACTTCTGCTCAGACAGGCTATGAGCTATCAAACGAAACAAATGGTAATTAGAAGGAGCAACATCTGGAGAATACGGCGGGTGGAGTAGGACTTCCCATTTAAGTGTTTCCAGGTATGTTTGTACCGGTTTTGCGACGTGCGGACGAGCATTATCGTGCAGCAAAATGACTTTGTTGTGTCTTTTGGAGTATTCCGGCCATTTTTTGTTCAATGCACGGCTCAAGCGTATCAATTGTAGTCGGTAGCGATCCCCAGTTATGGTTTCTCATTCGGTTTCAGCAATTCATAATAAATTACATCCCAAGTAGCATGAAAACGTTCAGCGAATGTTAATTTTGTGTTAGACATGTTACTGGTTACTTGTGTCCTTATGGCTCAGTGGACCCTTATTGCTAGTCGATACGCCATTCTAAGTCTTCACTGAAGTTTGGATTAAAACCGTGGATTCAATGCGTGATCACGGAGTTGTATACTAGAGTAGTTTTCACTGTTGGTTTCTAGGTCTTGACACAGACTGCGGGTAGGGAAATTTACACCCCGCAGTGAGATTCGGAGCACAGCTCCAATCAGACGGTCGAACTGAGTTAGGGAGATTATGGGAGAAATGGGTAGAGGGGGATTTCAGACTGTATGATGAAATGTAAGCTTAGATGGATATCTGATCCTTAACGACGAAAGCGTATAGTGCATGCATGGCTTGTAAATTATTAGAAAAGGCAACCTCCGCCACACTATACGGTGGGCTGAAACCGTTGTGGAATAAGTCAAGTATAAGTGAGTCAGAAGCGTCTTTATGAATAGGACAATGGAAAAAAATATGATCTATGTCTTGATGAGTGTATCCACATTCACAATTGGCTGTTTCAACAATTGACTTATCCGCAAGGTGCGCCCTAGCACACGTATGAAAAGTACGAGTGCGTGAGATAAAGGAGACTAGGCATCTAGGGAGTAGTTTTTTAAATTTTTCATACCAAGGTTTATCAAGAACTTGATCCTTCCAAGAGAAGTACCTACCACCTTTGATCAGGACTTCCCCGAGCAAAAACTCCCTCGACTCTTCCAGCACCTCCTTCCTAAAACCGAGAAACAGGGAGCTGAAAGGGCACTTAAAAGACAAGTCGGGTTTAGGTAGACTCAACGCTTTCTTGGCATAAAAGTCTGCATTCTCATTATCCCTGATACCCTTATGGGCAGGGACCCACAGGAAGCTAACATTGATTCCCTGCAACGCGAGTTCAGAAGTGAGCGATTTTATTTTATATACAACACTCGGGTGAGAGCCCCGAGAGTCAGAGGACATGAGACAGCTCAGAACACTCATGGAGTCGGAAGCTACAACTGACAGGCTGAACGCGAAGTCCCTTATGTATTCAAGAGCACACAGGACGCCTTGTGCTTCAGCATCGAAGATGGTAGAATGATTATTAAGTCTGGTGAAATGTACCAGATCAAGGTATTCAGAGACCACTGCAAAACCCACCCGAGCGGGTTGATCCCCGACAGAGGGAATCATGGAGCCGTCAGTGTAGAAGATATGTGAGGCACCCATACTATCTAGGAATCTACTCAACTCCAGTTGAGGTGAGTGTGCAGAACAAAACTTAGCGCCTGAACTAAGATCAACGCAACACTTGTAAAACTTGACAAAAAAAGGAAAGGATAGTAAGCCAAGTAGAGTGAGAACTTCTACTTGCTGAATTGCAGTCGAAAGGTGATTAAAGATGTTGAACAGATCGAAACTGTTGGCTTCACATATAGGGCTCCACGAAGGAAGGCTTTCTCGCACCATTGAACCCAGTTGGTGTTCCGCACGAGAAGCCACACGACACAAATACTTACGGGTCAAAAACCTACGTCGACAGACCAGGGGCTGTTCGTTAACCAGATCTAGCAGCACATTGGTAGGAGTGGACCTCATAAGGCTACAAATTATGCGAATACAAGCAAACTGTAGTCTATCTAACACGAGACATTCAGGCTGAGAAAGAGGAGATACCACTT